GGTATGTATGGATTTGTAATCCTAGGACTGGGAAGGCAAAGACAGGAGCATCCTAGAGTACTCAGGGTTGACTTCTGCCCCCCCCCATTCAGCCTGGGTGCTCTGGAGAGCCATTTGGGTTTAAGTGATAGTGGTTTTCATCAGAGTGGCCACAGCCACTGTGCAGCAACCTTTTGGGTACAGGTAAGGGAAGTCAGTAGATGCCCACCCACAGAAATGGGAACACTCCCTGGGTTCGTGCTGCTGCATCCTGTGGCTGGCAAGCGTCGGAGCAGAAAGAACAAGATTCTGAACCAGAAAGAATGGTCCGCCCATGCCCGCCTCAGCTCTAGGACGTAAGCCTGCATAGTTGTCAGAGACCCAAGTTCCAGTCCAGCCTCTGCCTTTACTGTGCAGCCATGAGCGGTCCCTAGGCCTCTCTGGGCCTCAAGTCCCTCATTTCTGTAATGTGAGGACTAACAGTAGCAAGGGTGGGTTTGTTAGAAGAAGAAATAAGGAGCATGGAGTGGCTGGGCCCTTAGGGCCTCCATCAGTGGGCATTACCACATATCTCCAGGCGTGACAAAACTTTGCACAGTGTCTAGAAACATCCACCGACACACCTGCACACCCCATGCTGTGGTGGCAGCTACAAAGTTCAGAGCACAGCTAGAAAGTTCTGGCATTCTGACCAGGGGCCCTGGGGGCTGAACCAGGCACCAACACTGGCAGTGGGTAGCCCCGAACAGAACAACTTACCATCTCTTATGGGACATCATGGTGTTTGAGATATACACACGACCATTAGTACTGCATGTGGCTCAGAGGCATCCTTACTCAACGTATGTGTGTACGGTGTCGTGTGTGTGTGTGTGTGTGTGTGTGTGTGAGTGCTCACATGCGTGCACAGGTGTGTCTGTGCATGCAGAGGCCAGAGGTCAGCCTTGGATATTGTTCCTCAGGAGCTGCCATCTTATTTTTTGAGCATCTCTCATTGGCGTGGGGATTACTGACGCCAGTAGCTGGCCCTGGGTGGAAACTAGCCCCAGGGACCCTCCTGCCTCTCTTCCCTGGTGCCAGGTTTACGAGCGCGTGCCACCGCGATTGCCCCCTCCCCGTGGATTCCAGGTCCTCGTGCTTGCCCAGCATCCATCAGATGACAGATCCATCTCCCCAGACCCAGAGGAGTCCCCGTTCTTACCGATGACACAGAGTGATGGGGCTGGCAGGTGCAAGGTTCACCCAGGGCTCACGGGCCTCTAGAGAGATTAACACCCAAGTTTGTTTCCAAAGGGCAGATGGCAGCTGAAAGGCTCTGGAAGCCTGAGCACCGCTTCATGAAGGCTTGGAAAGTTCCTCCCAGGGCATCAGGGGGCCTATCTGCTATCCAGGACGCAGTGTTAGGACACGTCTGGCCAGCTGCCTCTGCTGTTCAAGTTCTGGCTGGCACTGGGATCCATTCCTCCCCACCTCTGGCCACTCAGCTCTTCACCCTCTTTCCCTTCAGGGGGGCCTGGGTGTGGTTAAGGTGGATCAAGTTCCCAACCTCCTGCCTCCTCTGTGCTGTGCAACTTGGGCAAGTCCTGGGACCTCTCTGAACACCCTGTCTATGAAGGGAGGTGAGAATGTTAGATTCCTGGAACACGAGAGAAACAGCCAATCACGGTGGCACCATGGAGGAGACAGGAGGGTCCCTGGGGCTCTCCGGCTAGCTACCAGAATTGCCAAACTCCGGGCCAGTGAGAGACGAGAGGCCTCCTAGTTTGGCTGTGGCTCCTCCTCCATCTCTACAGGCAGCCAAGGCTGCTCCATCTTCATGTGCCTCTCTGAACCTTTCCTGGTATCACAGTGGGGTAGCCCCCCCCCACTATGGAGAACTCGGGAGACCCGATGGAACCGCCTGGGTCACCCAGGAGAGTCCCTCTACCTCAAAGACCACGGGAGCAGCCACTGACCTTGCTCCGTTACTGTAGCGGAGCTTAGTCCTGGAGGGCTGAGGTCACAGTATCAGACGCCAGCCTAGGCATCACACTGTGCTAGTGCTTTGGCCGTGATAGTTTGAATCCTTACCCATCACCTACTAGTTCCACCAATTCAGACACAATGTGCAGTCACCTCTGAGCCTCAGAGCTCGCATCTATGAAATGGGTGGTAACAGTACTCCATCCACTCTCTCTGGGAAGCATCCTATGGAGCCTAGGCTAGGCTAGCTGATGCTGTATCACACACAGCCTGCTCAGGGGCACCGAGGTTCCACAATGGAGTTTTTTCTTATTAGTCACCCAGAGGTCCTGAGGAGCCATGTTCTGTTTACAAATGTGAGTCAGGGGTTAGCAAAATGACACACAGCCAAGAAGTGGCCTTTTCATCTTGATGCTGATCTGAAGGCTGTGGACAGGTCCCCTCCTCTGCCCTAGTCTCTCTTACCTCTGCCTCCCCCCTGAGCCTAAAAGGCCTTGAGTGTGTGGGGGCTGAGCTGCAGGGAATACCGGGAGGCGTTAGCTCTGCCTTCCTGACAGTCCAGTGCTCCATGCATGGCCCTCCTCCACCCGGCTGTCCACTCCCAAAACCCAAGGTCTCTGCAGGGCGGGGGCCACCAAGGGGCGCTGGCGTTGAGGCCAGCCCCAGATAGCTCATGCATCGTAATACCAGGATAATACTTCTCTTCGAGCTCAGTGTCCTTATCTGTGTTTATGGTGACGTTATACACACCTGCTACAAAGGGACACAGACCACCTGTCACGAAACACACGCTAGGCAGTGGGCTCTGCAGGTGCCACCTGAGGGCTGCTCCCACGGGCACCGCCAGACCTGTAGGATTGGTGTCCCTACTGACTGTATCCTCCACTTGAGTTAGGGTCAGGGCCAAAGACAATGCTAGATGTAGCCCAGTGTTGATGGGAGCCACTGCCTACCCCACCCACCCCACTGCCTACCCCACCCACCCACCCCACTGCCTACCCCACCCACCCCACTGGCTCCCCACCCACCCCACTGCCTACCCCACCCACCCCACTGCCTACCCCACCCACCCCACTGCCTACCCCACCCACCCACCCCACTGGCTCCCTCCCCAGGTCAGCTCTAATCAGCAGCCTTCTGAGCCTTGTCTTAGATGTAACATTTGTTATTTTATTGGAAAAAGCTGGTATTAACATATTTATAATTTTATTCAACAGTTGGATAATTTGTGAGACACCAAAGGAAAAAAAAGAATGCACCTATGAGCCACAGAACCCCAAATGATCGGGTCTGACTGTGTTTCCAGCGCACACAAACCCTTCGCCCTCAGAGAATAACCAAAGCAGAAGGGACAAACTCACAACCCCAAATACGCCGTGACGACGATGGGAACGCCACACACCCAAGACCAGAGAACTCAAGCAGAGTAAGATGGCAAAGTCCGGGCCCTCCTGCTATTTCTCACATTGCCCCCCTCCCCCCGACCGGCTTCACCTTTTCCCTCCATCAATACACACAAAACTATTCGCAGTCCGCTCTGGACCTGCGTGATTTCCTGGGGTCCCAAAGACATGTATTTCTTCTGAGATCTTTTTCTGTCTTTCCTTTTCCTTCCTACTTCGGCACCCAACATCCAAAACAGAAGTCTAGAAACTAGGGGTGTGTGCAAGACCCCTCCTCCTTTTGAAGACCATGTGAGATTTGACATTGAAGACGGTATGTGTCACACCTGTGATCTCACAGCAACAATCAAATCCCAAGGCAGGTGGGTATCCTTTCTAACGCCGAACTCCCAAGGCAGGTGGGTATGCCAGAGATCCAGGCCAGTGTGTAAGGCCCTCTCGCCTGGATTTTGGCTTCGGTGGGATTTATGTACAACTGGCCACATTCTTCAACTTCTTTACAAGGGGAAAGTTGCCCGATCTTTTGATTGCTTACTTTAATCAAGGTCAATATGTACATATAATACTGTCCAGAGCGCCTGAATTTTACAGTGATGGATAAACATTCTTCATTCACGTTGATTTAAAGAGAAATTGAAACAAAACAAAACTGCAATGGACCAGTTTCTGTGTAAATACATGGCCGGAAGTGAGTGTGCATGCGGTTTGTGCTTTGACTCACACAAGGACGCCTTGATCCACTGAGAAGAAAAGCTCCATTGCATCTGTTCCCTGGGTGGCAGTTCATGGTGTAAAAACTAAAGCCCCTCTGCTCTCTGCTTCCAGAGTCCTGCTGTTTTGGGATTCCAGGAGTAAGGATGGAGCAGGGGTCACTATGAACGGCCACTGACCTGTGGCTCCGGGGAGGTCTGAGTGAATGTCCTCCGGGGCTGCCTGGCTGCATGCAACCTCCTGGGGGCGGGGGGGGGGGGATGGAGGGTGAGGAGAAGCTGCAGGTCCAATGTAGGTGAAAGGCATCTGGGAGGCATGCCCGGATGCCAGCAAGCAGAGTGGGGAGCCACGGCAGCCCCTCTCCATCTTCTCCAGTGTCATCTTGTCACCAGTGCACCTGCTCTCACTTCACAAGGTGGAGATGCTTCCCTTCCAGAACCTTCCAATGGGATGCTGCTTGAAAATCAGTCACCGGTGTTGTGGGTCGGGAATGAACCCGTGCAAAGACCTGCCTGCATGGGAACTCAACTCGGCCTCGGGGTGTGGCTCCTTAGGCACCCCGTTTCTCTGCTTTAGCTTCCTCCTATGTACAAAGGGGATGGTTACTACATCCCAGCTCCAGCTGGGACTTATGGGAATGAGTGGACACCTGCCTCAGTCAAGGACAGGGCCCACTGTCAACTGTGGGAAGATGACGGGCTAGCATGGGAGGGCGACAGCAAAACCACCACAGAGAGGGCTGTGGGGATCCATCCACAGCCACTATGGACTGAGCACCATGCCCGGCGTGCAGTGGGCACTCACAAACGGATGGCAGTGAGGTAAGGGCTACAGCCGCACAGGGTCCCCAGTCCTGCCTCTCAGGACTCGCCCCCACCCTGGAAAAGCCGTACAAGGAACCTAGCCCCGCCTCACTGTTAACCCTGGGACTTCAGCTCTGCCTCTCAGGACCTGACCTGGCCTGGCATCTAGGACGCACAACGACATCCCAAACACCCCAGTGAGGAGCTGGCACTGCCAGCTCTCGACGAAAATGCACCGTCCAAAATCCAACACGAGCCAGCAGCTCTGAGCCGGGGCATGTGGCTGGCTCCTTTGAGGGCCCACAGGCCTTGCCTGGCTTGGGAGCTTCACTCTTTCTCTGGAGTCCCACCAGGGACCAGCTTGACTATCCTGAAAATCACCCTAGACGTGAATAAAGTCCTGATAATAAATGAAGGCCCGGCCTGAACGGGAAGGACCGTAAACCCTGGACCGAGGCCTACCAGGCACATTCATCTTATCACCTGTGACTGAAGCTCCTTCCTTCCCTTCGTTTAAACTGGCGATCACCATCCAAGGCAGCTACAGCCTAGGGACTCACATCCCCACCATGGCCACCATCCTGCCCTCCTACAGAGGTGGCCGAGAGGACCCCTGAGGCCAGCTAATGCATGTCCGAATTGACCTTATCCTGGAAGATGTACAGGTTGTTGGTGGCTGCAATGGCGATGATGTTCTCGGCCGGGTGCCAGGCCGTGTGCAGGATCTTCTTGGTGAAGTCCAAGCTGTCCACGCTGATGTCGTCCCGTCGCCGCTTGCCTCCCACACACACGCGCCGGGGCTTGAGCACGGCCCTGGGTTTGCTACTCTCCCTAGAGGCCTCCAGCGTCACATCCCGCTTGGTGTTGCGGTCGAACATGCGGAAGAAGTTGTTGTAGGCCCCTGTCATGATGACGCTGGTGAGAGGGGAGGAGGGGTCAGTGTGGGAGGACAGACGGGACAGAGACACTCGGGAGCTATGGGCTGTCACTCCAGGACAGGGAGCTTTGCTTGCCTCTCTGCCACCTTTCTGTTGGTGTCCCTGGACACCCCTTACATCTCAGCTGCCATCTCTACTTTAGGACCCTCTCATGTTGCCCCAGTATTAAAGGTACCTTCCCATCATTTGGACATAGCCTAAGAGAAGCAATCCTTGCTTGTAGCCACAGTGGCAGGTAGAGACAGGGCTGACACTAAGAAATAACTGTGGTTGTCCCAGAGCCTCGGGACCTACCAGGCTTACCTCTCCTTCACAACCTGAGTGGCTAAGCCCGTGAATAAATGAATGCTCACCGCCATGGATCACATGGTTAAGGCAAATGCCAAAGCAGACAAGGGGGCCCTGGAGGCAGACTTCTGCCCCATGCCTTCTGTCCCATGGACTTCATCTAGTGAGGCGTGGAGTAGGTTATCTCCACGATGCATTTGGGAAGCAGGCCTGGGCCTAGAGGAAGGATTTGGGGTTAGGCCTAGGGGAGGCTGGAAAAGCTGTGGGGAGGAGAAGAGGAGGAAAAGCTCTAGGGGGAAGGAGCTGGCTTCCACGGAGGAGGGAACATTCAATGGTTTCAGTGGCTGGTGAAGACATAGGCCTACACCAGTCTTGTGCGCAGAGCACAGACCACCACCACCAAGAGGGACACAATACCTTTTGTGTATGCATATATGTGTGTGTGGGGGGGGTCATTCAGCCTAAGACATTGGCACAGGCTACATGGAGCCCCTTCCAGAGGGCTGACTCAGGTGAATTCATCTGGAGAGTAAAAGATTAGGACTAGAAACAAAGCTGGGTCCTGTGTCCCCACTCAAAGATGCTGGAGGGGATGAAGAGTTGTGGCGTCACAATAATGCCCAGCCCTCTGCAGGCCCGTTTATTAAAGGGTATAACCACCCCCCGCCATGAGTCCAGCACAGAAGGCTGCAGGCCTCAGGCTGGCCCTACAGGGATGAGGAAAATTTGTTTCTCCTGTTATCCTTGGGCCCCTGGGATGCAGGCATTGAGGTCCCTGTCCATAGACAGACCACACTCAGAGGAAGCCAGAGGCAGATGGAAGGCAGGGATTGCTCTCTACCGCCCAGAAACATGAACCACCATGGACTGGACACTCTCCTGGAGTCCCTCCCGCCAGGCATCTCTTCCAGTGGTGGCGGGGTAAACAGGTACAGAGGCAATGAGAATTTGTCATTTCATAATAACAAGATACAGGAAGAAAGCCCAGGAGGCTGTGGGGCAAGGCAGAGACCACCAGGGCAGCTTCCTGGAGGAGGAGAAAGCAGAGCAAGCTAAGGTGGAACGTGCTTCGGCAGGATCCCAGGGTCAGGGAGAGTGGATGTGGAGGAAGAAAAAGAGGGGTGGGCACATCTGTGGGAAGTATCCGGCAGAAGTAGGCTGCTAAACCCCAGGGCTGAGCCTATCTGTCAGAGGCTTGCTGGGTTTTATGCTGAGCCCAGGCAGAGTCTGGTTAAATGTGCCCCCTGGTGGCAACTTGAAGTGCAGGCCGTGGGTGGTAACCTTTAGCCTACTCTCCTGCCTTACTGTCCTTCAGTGGTGGACACCCTGGACCACCACACGTGCCTTCTATTCAGTATGGAGCATCCTGCCCACCCATGCACAGGGCAAAGCAGATGCCACCTGTGTGGACACAAGCCCCGGATGAGGGGACTTTTTGGGCTGAGGCTCTCGAGAATGCCGCCACTCCCCACTTGCAGTTGGAGTGATGGAAAGTGGGGCGGGAGGCGGTGCCTCAGAGGCGCTGGTACCAAAACATGCCAGGTGCTATGCTCCCCTGGTCACCTGGAGCCTCTCTCCTTCCTCTGGGCAGGAGGATGTGTGGCTAATCATCCACGGGCCTGGGAGACTCAAGTACCAGCCCTTACAGTGAAAGTCACAGTAACCAACTGCGCCTAAGGCCTGTGGGCCTAATAAAGCATGAGTGGGCACAGGGAAGCAGTGTCCCCTCCCCAACAGAAAATCTTAGCTGTGGGGGGAAAGGCGCACAGAGAGGCAGGCTCTTCGGTACGGCAGGGGAATGATGTAAAATGAAGGATGCAAGGGACCCGTCTTCACTCGGTGTGCCGGGTCCAGGCTGTGGCAACCCAGGAGCCTGTGCCGTGTCCTAGAGGCTGTGTTCCATGCTGTGGGGTGGGAGACGTGGATCACAACTAGGTCACCGGTTCCAGTCGTGAGCGCCGTGCGAGGCTTCCAGAGTGAGGGCAGGAGGAAAGTGTGGGTGACCCAATGCCTTTCTGTCTCCTGGGGATGGAGATACTGGGGTCCAGCCCTCACCCAAGGGCCTGGGGTGCGGAAGGCACTGAGCTGATCCTGACCTAAAATCCCACAGCACCCTAGGTTAGAGTGGGTGTCAGCATCAGTCAGAGTGAAGAAGAAAATGTCACTTCTCAGACCTGAAGTTGCTGGGGGGGGACCTCCCCAACCTCTACCACACCTCCACCTGGTACAAGTGCAGTTTTGTGGTCCGGCTATGGGAAAAGATCCCTCCTGGGGCGAAGGATGAGGGGCATGGCAGGGTGCTGGGGCTATGTGCCTGCAGCTGGCTCACCTGTCACTGCCATTCCAGGCACACTCGAACTTGTCAAAGATGCAGTCGCTCTCATACAGGGAGCACAGCTTACTCCGCAGGTAGTCGTGGACCTGGTGAGAAGAGGGGACAGAGTGGCCCTGACACCTCCATAGGGTGGATGCTCTTGGCATAACCCTGCACACACAGCTGACCTAGAGCAATGGGACACGGGCACAGCATCTACAGAGGAAAGGGAACCCTCACACAGCCCAGAGACTGTCATTAATGAGGCAGCAAATGGTGGGCACCCCTGTCTACAGTCTGGAGGCCACTCCTCCTGCCCTAGACGTTGGCTAACAGCCCTACCATGCTTTGTCACCATCACCATGGTCCCACGTGTGAGACCCAAGAGGATAAAGCCAAGTCTCTACATCTCTCTGATCCCAGCAGTATGCTGGCCGAAGCCAAAGGGCCCCATGGTGATGCCAGCCCTGCCAGAAGGTGGAATTCTCAAGTCCCCGTCTCCTTGCACAGGCACAGCCGTCATCAGCAGGTCCCGGGGCAGGAGGAGATGCTTCGGCTACGGGGAAAGAGCACCAGGCTTCCTGGGCCCGCCATGAAGGATGCTCCACGTCTATGGACCCAGCATCTTCAAGAACCATGGGCCGAGGATGATGAAGGCTTAGGACAATCCCACTCCTGGCAGCCCACTCCAAGACTCCTTTGATGGGGTGAAATAGCTCTCCCTCGTCAAGTACTGCACAGTCCCACTACACGCAATTTCCAGGACACAAAAGTCACCTCCAAAGACACGTAGCCATTAATCATTACTGTAGGTAATCTGTAGGTCAGCTGTACACAGAAAGCCAAGCACCCAGGTTCAGCGCTTGGTCCCCAAAACAGTAATGAATGCTGCCACTTCACCGAGGTTCCACAGGCTTTCAGAGGCCAGGAGACTCCACACTCACCCCTCCCTAAGAAAACATCCATACACATAGGCCTGTGCTGACCACAGTGCTGTGATGGCCCCAGGGGCTGGGAAGATGCTGCTTCAGTCACTGACACTTTCGGGGGACCCAAGAGGGCCTGTCCCTATACAGAGTGTGCAGGGTAGGACCTAGAGACAGGAGGAGCCACAGGCTCTGCCCACCACCAACAAAGGGGCGGTTGGGTCAATAGGAGATGTCCTGGGATCATGTGGCTTCTAGAAGTCCCTTCCAGAAGCTTGGACACACCTCCTGGGCTTTGGTAGGAGAGGAAGCAGTTTTGAGCTTTGGACTTGCTATCAGTGGGCTGAGACTCCTCTGTCGCTCTCCAACTTCCCAGTGTCCCTGTCTGCAGAATGGGCTGCTGCAGGACAAAACAGGTGACAGGCACATGTGTGCACTCACACGCACAGCTCTGTGGGTGGGGATGAGGCTTCTGATGGCATGCTTGAGCCCGTTTCTGCCGATCTAAATTCCAGACGACCTTCAAGGCCCAGCACAAATGCAGCTGTCTCCAGAAAGCCCTGGCCCCCACTGCCCCGTGTCCTTGCCAGACACCAACATCCTACACTGAACATGTGTTATTTTAATAGCAAGCCAGTTTTGTACTGTGCCCCATCAAGAGACCCGGCAAGATGAGGAATAAAGGATCCCCAGAAGTGCCCGGCGGTCTACCCTGCACACTAGCTCAAAAGGCTACCCCAGGGGTCCAGAAACCTGTTCCACACTGCCACTGAACACAATTCAGACAAGGCTGTGGATACTGAATCTGAACCCTGACTTCAGGCCTGACTTAATGCCTTTCTTTGCCCACCCCCTCCTCTCCTGCCCCCAGAAACGGGTTCTAGATGCAGATGGCAGCCCCTATGCAGTGGCTGGGCTGGGAAGCCATTCTGCAGCTTCATCTACAATGCAGCATAGGAAGCCTCTGGGGGTGTCAGCTCAAGGAAGGGGTGTGTTCCTGGGAGATCTCACACCACAGAGAATCCCCAGGCCCCCAGACCTCTACACCCACCTGGTAGGTCTCTATGGGCCTCGCCTCCATGTTCAGGTCCCAGACTTTGACCGTGAGGTAATCCCTCGTGAGCATGTAGCGCCCACTGTGGCTGAACTTCACGTCAGACACCGAGGAGATGATCTCTGAGAAGAAGGAGCGGTTGCTGGGGTCCTCGGGCTCCTCAAAGACTGTGGAGAGAGAATGGGCGGCTGTCATGGTCCGCCTTGCTTACAGCCCGTCAGAAACACAGCCCACTGTATCCACCAAACATAGCCGTCTGCCATCGAACCTTTCCCTAAGCATCGCTGAGGCTCTAAGGACCCTCCACCGAGGAAAAGCCCTGGAAGGACTTCTTGTGGGAACTGTGTGAATTGCGTATGACATCTAATCCCCTAATAAAAACTTTAGGGTGGTAGCCTCGTTATCTCCATTTTATGTCCAAGAAAACTGAGGCTGAGAATGAATCTTTGTGAAGATCTCAACAGCACAGGAAAGTGGAACATGCGAACCCAGAGCTATGGCTGCTGCAACCCTCTGCTGCCCCCTACTGGCAGTGCGGAATACCAGCCTGAAAAGGTCTTGGCAGTCAGTGTCTAGGCTGGAGCCTGATAGGGTTCTGATTTCAACTGGTCCCAGGTCTTCAGGCCAGGAGCTGTGTCCTGTGCATGTGCAGTGGATGTCTGTGGTCAGCCATGCCCCAAAGTGGCCCTGGTGGCAGAGCAGGTGGGGACCAGGGGCTGGCATTAACTCTCTGGGCTCTGTAGGCAGACAGGGCTTGGGGGGGGTGGGGGTGGGGGGGGACATGCTGGCAGCTAACTATCACCTAAGCATCTCCAATTTGTAAAGCCAACCTCAGGGAAGCACTGAGTGACAGCCCTGCCCACTGCCTCACTGGAAGAAGAGGGCTGGCCACAGCTCCCCACAGACTTGAGACAGACCCTTCCTGTGGGCCCCTGGGGAATCACGGGTGCCGTGCTGTGCCTCCTGGGTCCCATCCCTTTGCCTCTCACTGGGACTTGCCATTGCCCTCCTGTCCAACACACATGTCATCGCTGCCCTAACCTGTCCAGAGGCCCCACATGTCATCTGAAGACATTCTGACTTCCCTGCTCAGTCTACACGCCCACCCGGAGAGCTTGTGAGACAAAGTGGAATCTGTCTCCACCCTCAGGAAGTGACACGATCTGGTCCCACTGTCCTTGTCTACTCCTGTCACACTGTCCCTTATACCGAAGACCAAAAAGAGCACCCCTGGGGAAGCTCTGGGCCTCACTCCCCAGGCTTGCTCTGCTAGATGCCTCTTGCCACCACACTGATTAAGGCCACGGCACTGAGCATTTTGGGATGAGATGGGGATTTGCGCTGGCTGTTTGGAGGCTCGAGTGACAGCCATGAGCTGACAGGTGTGATGGCTCCAGCAGCTGAAAAGGACAAAGGAAAGCTAGCCCTGCCCACACCCTGACTAGATCTCCAACCTCCACAACTGTGTAAAACACACGTGTCTCTTTAAGCCACACACGAGAGCTCTCTGGGTGATAACATGAGAAAGCAGAGGAAGAGAGCATGCTGGGTAAGGGGCACCCATGGCTACAGCCCGGGAGGCTCTGAGCATTGGATCGAGTGCCATCCTTGAACAGCTCATCTACTGTTAGCTGCAGGTATCCCCAGCATTCGGTCATTCACATTGCTGGAGTCCCATGACGGTGAACCTTCATCCCCCACCCCTTCCAAACCAACCACATGACTCAGTGCTCGGCCCCTCCTTCTCATAGACTCTGCTGTCAAAAGCAGAAATAACTGTCTATTTTGAGGACTCGCGGAGGGCTGTTTCTATGGTTACCCTGCCACAATGCCTAGCAGACAACAACCTGGGTTTCTTCTAGTGTTTCTGAGAGAGCTGAAGCCATGGATACAGGATAGCCAGGGTACCCCAGCCTGGCCTGGTTCAGACAGGTCTGAAGAGCTACTGTGTTCCTTCGACCTTCCTCGCCCGCCCAGGGGCATGCATGAGCACACGGTGGTCAATAACGGTTCTCACTGGGTGAGAAGAAAGCTACAATGTCATCCTGTTAGGAAAGGATGCTGGGGACAGGGCCCTGGGGCAGTCGCTGACAGCCACACCCTGGCTTTTAAACATAGGTGTGGGAGGCAGAGAAGCAGCCAACGCCCCCGAGGTCTTATACAAATACAGCAATGATCGTGGCTGATTAGGAACAACATGCCTGGTCACTGGGAATCCACTGCTCAACTTCTCGTGAACACTGAGAACAAACACTGCGAATGAGACCCAGGACAGGGACAGTGGCCCCGGAGGCAACATCAGAGTGCAAAATGTGGCAGAGGGTGTGATTTGCTGTCAGAGCGTTATCTAGCATGCTCCTGGCTTGGATCTGATCCACTCTGGGATTGGGAGGCCATCAGGTGAGGATTGATTCTGGAGTCTAGATTCTACACAGGCAACTTAGAGGATGAGAAAAAATTCCAGAAGAATTCAAAATATAGAATTAACTCCAATAGAAAACTCCTTTATTAATCCCAGCACTCAGGAGGCAGAGGGAGGTGAGGTTTGAGGCCTGCCTGGTCTGCAGAGCAAGTTCCAAGACAGCCAGGGCTGTTATACAGAGAAACCCTGTCTCGAAAAACCAAAACCAAACCAAAGAACAACAATAACAACAAAAACCCTTTATGAAACACTGTATTGGTTAATACTCTCAACGTGACAAGATCTAGGCTCACTAGTACACAAGCATCCTGGAACACTTGTGAGGACTGGCTGGGCTGGCTTCTGGGCTGTCTTGATTATGTTCTCCGTAGTGGGAAGACTGTTCCCAAAAGTGGGCACCATTCCCTGGGCTGCAGAAGGAGAAAGCCGCTGAGCACCAGCAGTCGCCTCTGCCTCTCTGCTTCCTGACTGCAGATGTGACAAGGCCACCTCCCTCGGCCTCCTGCTCTACGCTTTCCCTGCCAGGACAGACTGGAACCTTGACCTGTGAGCCTACATGAGCCCTCTCTTAGGCTGCTTTTGTCTGGGTGCTTTTATCACTGCAACAAGGAAATGTTCCTAAACTAGAAAACTGGTGCTAGGGAGTGGGACCGTTGTGATAACCCTGACCACTTGGCTCTTAGGCCTTTAGAACTGATTTGAAGGAGGAACATGGAAAAGTTTGGGGGTTTAGGCTGGAAAAAGCCGTCAAATGCAAAGGTCAATAGCAATGGGAAGCCCCATCCTCAAAGTGGGTGGCACCATTCCCCAGGCTTCATGCCTGGACTGCCAAGAAGGAGAAAGCTAAGTGAGCATGCGACATTTATCTCTCTCTGCTTCCTGACTGTGGATGGACCTTGACTTGCCACCTCATGTTCCTGCTGCCATGACTTCCCCAGTGTCAGGTCCCAAAGAAATCAGGGACAAGTGACTAAGCGAGGTGCCTATTGGCAGACTCTAAAGCATGCTGGCTACCAGGCTCACTCAGCGCCTTCTGCTCCCCCTGCCCTTCTCATCCCAGCCCCCTACCCTAATCTCTCTAGTGCAAGGCCTTTGCTTCCCTTGCTCCAGCTTCTCTTTCCTATATAACCCTGGCATTTTGGCCATGTACCCTGTCTTTCTCTCTCTCACACACACACATTCCCTTCTTCTCTCATGGCCCAGTCCAGTCTGAACTTTTTCAGATGCCTCTAGCTCTACTCTCCCTCATATCTATAATGAAAACCTTCTCCTCCACCACACCTTGGAGCAGGCATGTCCTCATTTCCATTCATCCACCATAATGAATAGTGACATCAATTGTGAGCCAAGATCAACCTTTTCTACCGTATTGCTTTTGCTAGGGAATTTATCACAGCAACAGAGAAAAGAAGCAAAGACAACTACTAATCCAAAAGAGAAGATTAACTCAGGGGCAATAACAAACAAAACCACGAGGCTAGAGAGATGGCCCCCAGGGGTTGTGTGTGTACTGCACTTCTAGAAGATCCCAGGTTGATTCCTAGCACTCACATCAAGTGACTCACAACTGCCTGCAGCGCCAGCTCCAAGAGACGGTGCCCTCTTCTGGCCGCTGTGGGCACTGCAATGACATGCATATGCCTAGCCCATAGATACAGACATACAATTAAAAGAAATATAATAAACCCTTGTGCTTTTTTAAAAAAGAAAAAAAAACATGTCTCCCCCTCAAAAGAACATATGATAGACATACACCTAACCTGTACAGGACCCTGGAGAACAGGTGTGCTTTGCTAATCTCAGGAAAGGAGAAGAGAACTGTCAAGCTCTTGGAGGACAGAACGATTGTAACAGTGCAAAAGGAACACAAATCAGAGTCACCCATGCACCCTACACAAATGCTCTTGACCCTGTAGAATACCATGTGCTGTGCAGCCCTGTCTACATGCGGGACCACTGGCCTGCAGAGAGGCCCAGACACGCTGATGTGGACGAAGCTCCCAAGTGAGCTACTGGGCAGCTAAGCAATGGGTTCCGAGAATTCCTCAGGGGAGACCTGGCCCCCCAGGATGGCCAGTGCCAATCAAAGTCCCCAGTGGTGGCTCCTTCAAATCCCAGCCTTGCAGCCTTCAAGAACCACAGTACACACAGAGGCAAGCCCGCGAACACTCAGAGCACACCTGAGAGGCGGGCATGGGATGAACGGAGGGTGACACTGCATAGCGAAGCCTGCCTCTCCCGTGCCTGACTCAGTGAGCGTCACCAGGCGTATGACAGTCACATGGCAGGGCAAGTTCTCGTGTCTGGGCTCAGGAAATGCACAAGGAGCTCTAGCAGCTGCCATGGTAGGGGGCTGCTTTCTTACTCCACCCGCCTCACCCCAGGAATCTGGGCGTCACAGACTGCAGAGGCCAAGTGGCTCCGGCTGCCACCTTCACCAAAGCAGAGTACACAGACAACACCAAAAGCCTCTCCCTGCTTGAAACACACACTCACACACACATACACACATTCACACACACTCACACATACTCACACACTCATACATACACACATACACTCACACACACATACTCACACACATTCATACGCACACTCACTCACACACTCACACATACACACACACTCACACTTACACAATATACTCACATACTCACACATTGACACACACTCACACACACACAAACGCGCACACACACTCACACATACTCTCACACATACACACTCACACAATACACACTCACACACACTCACACATTGACACACACATCACACATACACACACATACACACACACTCATAATACTCACACACATACTCACACACTCACTCACACATACACACTCACAAATTCACACTCACACAATACATACACCCACTCACACATTGACACACACACTCACTCACGCATACCCATTGACACACACACTCACTCACGCATACCCATTGACACACACACTCTCTTACATTCACACTCAACACACACTTTCTGGCATATACTCTTCCTCTCTCTCTCTCACACACACGCACACCTTCTCATTTTTAACAAGCAGATACCCAGACAAATGCCAACAAAACACCACTAGCTGTCTTGATGTCTTCCTTCCTGGTACTTTCTCTGCTTCCATTTTCTTGTGATCTTCCTCTCATTCCCCACCCCACCCCCCACGGAATCTGTCAGTGCAATATTGCCTGCGTTACCAAACATTTTCTAAACATTTGGATGACTGCTGTGTCTTAAATGGGTGTCACCATTGCCAATGCATCATCTACTGTGCTGGACCAGTGGGGTGACTCTGGCTTCTGCCCCCACTGAAGGAGGTATCACAGAGCCTCTGCTTCCCCCCCAGCCAGGGGTCTCGGACAGGGTTCAACCCAGAGCACGCCCAGGCTCCCCTCTCTCCCTAATCTATGCTTACAGTCTCACAAAGAGCTGAACGTGGACCCAGTTCAGGAATTCATGCACTCTAGACCACCTGAGAGCAGACAGGTATCTGGAGCGATGCCCCATGGTAGTAGGATGGCCCAGCTAGGTCTGTCTTAATCCATGGAACCTATAAATGTCACACACAACGAGGGGACTACTTGTTGACCAGTTGATCTTGGGACGTGTCATTATTATGTGAGAGAGGAAGTGAGCGCAGGGAAAGTCTCAACGTAACTGTGAGGTGAGGTGTGAGGGGTGGTTGAGAGTCAGGGAGGCAGCAGGAGTGGATCCTGGGACTTGGGTGGCCAGGGGCACGGGCGGCCCGACAGTTACAGGGACACTATGTGCCCTCTGCTAGTTCTGGCCGATGAGAATCAAATCCACTCCCGGCAGCTTACTGTAAGACAATGAATGTGTTCTCAGGTTGCTCAGGTGGTGGCTGATGCGGCCCAGATGCAGGAAGTCCAGGGCTGTGTCTGTGAGGCCGGTTCAGGCTGGTTCTGCACACAACCACCTGACCCTCCGAGGCCTCCCTTCCCAGCCTGTCGAACATGGACCAGGAATGGAGTCCTGTGAGGAGAATTCTGAGTTCATGTGAGAACACACCAAGAAAACAAGAGTCTTGTGACCTCGGTTTCTTGAAAACATGAAATTGCTCTTGGAATGTGTTTGCCGGCTCCTCCCAGGTGTAGTGATAGTAGTGAATTTACTTCTGATTACTCATTGCTTTCTGTTGTTATTTAATTAGGTGTATGCCTGTGTGGGGAAAAAAAACCTGTTCTTGCCGCATGAGACTTTAGTCGGCCTCGCTTATTGGCTCCATTCTCCCAGGTTTCACCATCTCTAGAGCGGTGACACTAATCCATGCTGATAACCCTATGGTGTCAACCTCAGTTAAGACCTTGATTACCAACATCTGTCCATGTACCGTTCCATGCCCCTGGAGTCTGGTAAAGATTCCCATCATTGAGCCGCAAATCCACCACTCCAAGTCCTTACACTCCACTCCAATCCATCTGGAATATGACCCAACCCCTCCCAACATTCATACCCAGAAGCCATCTGACCATCCACACCCTACCAGGCGCTACCCAGCAGCTCTGCCTCTAGAATGCTCTTTGTGGGGCTAAGTGGGGCCTCCCCACAGCTGTCTCTTCTCTCTGCGATGTTTGCTCCTCACTCTGATGGAAAACATCACTTCCCAGCTCTTCCTTGCCATCCTCCATCTATCCTACCTGCCATACGTAGAATAAAACCCAGCTTCCCTTGACCATGGTGGCTCTCTAGTTGTCCTATCCTTCTCACCGATCCCTTTCCACACTTTCCATCTGCCCATATCATCTTTGGTAAAGCTTCCATCATGAAGCGTTTGCCCCTGTGCATCTCTCCTTCCAAGGCCTCCATGACCCACCCTTCAGCCAAGTGTCTGTTCCTGGGTGACCCATGAGTGAGCCCATCCCTGCCCCTTTACTACCCCACCCCTGGGTGAGGATGCTCCACCTATCCCCAGGACAGGAACCCGTGCCTACTGAATGCTCCTGACACACAGGGTACAGATGAGCCTGGAGGGGAGCTGTAGGGAGGGCATGGGGACAGAACTTGGTCAAGGAATGGGAAAGGAACTTAAGGCTCAGCCTGACTCCACTGCCTAGCAGAACCAGGCTTCTGGGGGTGAAGCAAGACTCCATCACTCAGCAGTCAGGACTGTTTGCACCTCTGCTTCTGGAAAACCTGTCCAGAACCTACTGAGATCACCCATTTGTCCATTCACATTTGTTTCCAGATTTCATCACAGGTACTCGGGACAGTTGGGAGGTGGACCAAAGGAATACAGCCCTATCTTCCTGGCTGGGGCTGCCTGGGTATCATGGGGGAAGGCAGTCCTTCAAGGCCTTCTGTTGGTGGGGACCACAGTTTGAAGCCTTGTGGCCTCGGCTTCCTCTTTGGTTACAGTAGATCCCTTGGAGCAATGTGACCATCACACAAGACAGGCAGACTGTGGCAGACTTTGCCAGAGGTTTCAGAAATGACTGTTGCTATTTTAGTCTCTATTCCTAGGCCTCCCAGACGCCCCCTGGTGAGAGTGAGCAGTGCACACCCTGTCTCCAAGGAGCCCTCAGGGAGCTTATGGGAAGGGAGGTAGCTGGTAGCTAGAACAGCCCCTGAAACCCATGCTGGTGCACCCACCCACTTGCCAGATCCAACATAACTAGTCCCTATCCACCCACTCCAGTACAGAGACTTACGCTTAGAGTGCTTGTCGCACAGGGCAGCTGCCCGCATGTCACAGAGCCGCAGGGAGCCCTTGCTGCTGCTGTAGACAAAGAGGTTGCAGTGGTGGGGATGGAACTCGGATGCTGTGATCACCTCCGTGAGGTCTTCCATGTTGGCTGGCTTGATGTCAACGATATCTGGGTTGGGGGGGGGGGTCAAGGGTAACAGTAACGAGGCCCAGGCCAAACCAGGTCTGAGTGGCTTCTCTGGTTTTTAAGACAGCCCTAAACAAACACACGGGTCTCTAGTGCCCTAAACCACAGATGCACATGGTAGACTGCTGGCCAGTGCCCCTTCCCAGTACCTGTCCACTGGCCCTGCAAAGCTGAACCCACGCCCTCTTACAAAAGAGTGCCTGCCAGCTGCCCAGCCCTGCAGTCACCACTGACCTTTCCCACCTTCCTCTCTCGGTAGCCAAACAGAAGGGGTGCTTTGTAGTGAGGTAGTCCTTCTGTAGCACTGACCACGCCCATTGGGGGGTGGAGCGATGGGCGGAGGTGACCTGAGGAAGGAGGTCAGAGGGGGCCAGGAAGGCGCTCTCTTTCTGGCGTGACTTGGACAGGAGAGGATCGGCTTGAATTTCCTGGTGTTCATCTGTCTAGGTTGTAAGTTATTTCTCCCTGAATAAACATCTATTCGGCCTATTTGTTTATCCTGATCCTTATTTACCGCAATAGTGCTTAGTGTGGCTGTGAGCTGTCCCCCACAGGCTCATGTGCTAGATGCTTGCCCTGTAGTTGCTACTGTTTGGGGAGGCCGCGGGACTTTCAGAAGTGGGTCACTAAGGGTAGGCCTTCAAAGGTAACACTTGCTCCTGGTTCCCGCCTTACTCTCCATCTCCTGGGCCACCCTAATGTAAACAGGCTCTGGCACATACTCCCACGACCACGGTCTATGCTACTCCACCATGCCTTCCCTGCCTGGGTCAAACTGTGACCCAAAACAAACCTTTCCTTCCAATCAGGGGCTGTGGTCATGGAGACTAGGGAGATGATGAACAGACTCACCCACTACATGCTGGGCCATGGACACTTTAGTGAGTAACTTCACATCACGCCCCTCTCAACTGTGTCTGGGCCATGTATATAGGTTTGTTGCCCCAGCCACTAATGTCCTCCTACTCACAGTATCAAGACTCTCCAGTGGGAAAATGTTCTCTGAGCTGAGCCAGCCCCACACTCTACTCTGATGTATGCCTTGGAGACTCCAGAACCTGGAATACAGGGATGCTGGGATATTGTTTTCCTGAGTTGGATGGGAACAGAGGAGAGGATTCTGGGATCTGGAATCATACCCCAGTCTTTGCCTGCAGGGTAAAAGAGCATTCCACAGCATCCAAGCTATGGGCATCCAGCTGCGTACATGGTCTTGGAGCCTAAGGACTGGTCAGTCCCTGCTGGGCAGTAAGGTGGCCTACAGGCTGTGGGTGTTCAGCTAAGTGATGGTTATAGGGATCAAGGACTGGCCAATGCCACTGCCTGGCTGTTGTTGGGTGCCACTGGGATGGATGTTAAGTACTTAGGGTATGTGAATTACTTACCTCTCTCATGTCTCAATAAAATATCTGACAAAAGCAACTTACAAGAGGAACATAACAGAACACCAATAGCATAAACACTATGATTAACAGTTAATAAATGGGGCCTCGTGAAACTGAGAAACTTCTGCAAGACAAAGGACACCAGCAATAGACAAAATGGCAGTCTACAGAAAGGGAACACTATATCCCCACATCCGATAGAATGCTATTACCTAAAATACATAAAGAACTCAAGAAACTAGATATCAACAAACCAAACAATCCGATTAAAAAATGAGGTACAGAGCTAAACAGAGAATTCTCAATGAAGGAGCCTCAAATGGCTGAGAAACACTTAAAATGTTCAACATCCTTAGCCAACCAGGGAAATGCATTTTACACCTGTAAGATCAATAACACAAGTGACAGCTCATGCGGGAGAGGATGTGGAGGAAGGGGAACACTCCGCCACTGCAGAAGGGGGTGCAAGCTTGTACAGCTGCTGTAGAAATCAACACGTCAGTTCCTCAGAGTACTGGGAACTGATCTACCTCAAGACCCAGCCATACCACTCTTGGGCATAAGCCCAAAGGACGCCTCATCCTACCACAAGGACATTTGCTGAACTAAGTTTTTACAGTGGCTTATTCATAACAGCCAGAAACTGGAAACAACCTAGAGGGCCCTCATCTGAAGAATGGGTAAAGAAAATGTGGTACATTTACACAATGGGGTATTCTCATCCATTTTTTTTTTTTTTGGTTTTTGTTTTTTGGGGGGTTTTGTTTGTTTGGTTTGGTTTTTTTGTTTTGTTTTGTTTTAATGCCATCATGAAATTTGAAGGCAAATGTATGGAACTAGAAGAAAAAAAAAAAAAAAGTCAACCGGACTGAGGTAATCCAGACCCAGAAGGACAAATGTGATAATGTGATACGTACTCACTTTTAGGTGGACATTAGCTGCTAAGTAATTGATAGTCATGCTACAATCCATAGACCCAGGGAGGCTAAGGAAGGAAAGAAGGAAGATTTGAGGGGAGAAGGCATGAATCTTCCTGAGAAGTGAAAACAGAGTTCAGAGCTCATGAGTGGATTGGGGGCAGCTGGGGATGGGAATAGGAGGGATTAGGTTGGGTGGGGAGGGAAAGAGCACTGGGAGAGATGACTGGAATGGGTGGGCATCTGGGGCTCTGTGTAGAAAACCTAGTGCAGTGAAAATTCCCTGGAATCTATGAGGGTGACCCTAGTAATGGAGGATATGGAGCCTGAACCGTCCATCTTCTGCAGCCGGGCATGGCTTCCTGAGGTGGGACTGGGACACCAACTCAGACACAGAACCCCTGACCTACAATCTCTCTTGCTGTGAGATCTGCGGGGGCAATGGTGGCACAGAGCTTGTGGAGAGGCCAACTAATGCTGGGTCTAATTTGAGCCCACACCATGAGAGGGAGGCCATACCCGCTACTGTCTGGATAGCCAGGAACTGGAGGCTGGCTAACCCAGAGACTGAGGGTAGAACCAAACACCACTGGCAGAAAAAAAAAATCAATGAAAAGATTCCTAATGATGTTCTGCTATACTCACAGATCAGTGCCTTGTCCAGCTCTCATCAGAAACTGCCTCCAGCAGATGATGGGAGTGGATGCAGGGACCCACAGCCAAACATTAGGCAGAGAGAAAGCCCAGGTTGGAGGTCTCCATCAGGTCCCCCACTCAAATCCAGGGACCTCCATGGAAGACGGGAGAAGGAATTGTGGGAGCTAGAAGGTTGAGGACACTGGGAGAGCCTGTAATCAACCAAGCAGGGCTCATAGGGGCTCACAGAGAATGACGCGGTAGTAAGAGTCAGCATGGGTCTCTGCTAGGTTCTCTGAACATATGTTATGGTTGTTGGCTTGTGTTTGGGGTGGGGGATCCTGGCAGTGGAAGCAGGGGTGTCTTTGACTCTTTTGCCTGCTTTTAGGACCCCTTTCCTCCTACTGGGTTGCCTTGCCCAGCCTTGGTGTAAGGGTTTGTCCCTGGTCTTATTGTATCTTACTGTTCAGTGTTGATATTCCCGAGAAGCCTGCTCTTTCCTGGGGGGGCGGTGAGGGGCAGAGTGGGTCTTGGGGAGAGGGGAGGAGGGAGGGAACTGGGAAAGGTGGAGGAACAAAAGCTGCAGTCAGGATGTATTGTACGAGAGAAGAACAAATAATTTTTCTGAGGAGGAGAAGGGGAGGACCACACCCCTTTAATCCCAGCACTCAGGAGGCAGTGGTAGGCTCCGTCAATTTGATGTCAGCCTGGTCTACATATCGAGCTCCAGGCTAGCCAGGGCAGCACAGTAAAACTTTGTCTCAAGGGCGAGGGGGAGAGGCTGGGAGATTCTGACTTTGTCCTTTTCATTCTTTCCAGGACCTGAGCCCAGGTAATGTTATCGCCTACATTTGAGATGGGTCCTCCCTCCCTCCCTCATCTATTAGCCAAATCTAGATAATTCCTCACAGACATACTCAGGGATTGGTTTCCATGGTGATTCTAAATCCAATCAAGTAGACAATCAAGATTAATCATCACAGTTTATCCCACTAAGTTTCACTGGATCCACCCTAAAACGGGGGCCCTGATGGCGATGCCTGACAAGGAGGTGGCTGTGGGGGAATGCACAGCACAAATGCACTGAAGACAGACACTCCTCGTTGCATGCCCTGACAGAGGGTCCTTCCAGATACCTCAACCGTGACCCCACCGCCACCACCGCCACCACCACATGGCTTTCATTTTGGAGATCGGGTCGGAATTTGAGGGTCCTGGGTGAGATGTCAGGACTTGGCTCTCTAGAATATGCTATGCCACATGGGAACCCACAAACCTCAGTTTCTCAGATGCAAAATGGGGGCTTGGGTGTGATTGCAAAACAGTGGTTCTTTTCCAGGACTGACCTGGGTGGCCAGGAGGCAAGATGCTTCCCAAAGGATGTGACCCTTGGAGACTGGGAAATGGGAGACTGTCACATCAAATCTAGTAGATTCTGTGTGACAAGTTCCACAGACTAAGGAGATAACTTCAAAAGAAGGAGGTCTCCTGGAAACGGCTGTGAAAACTCTTGGCCAGAGGAAAATATTGGGCCATGGTTCTCGTGGTAATTTCTGTTTGTTTTTCTATTCACTTTTTTTCACATTAATTAAATGCTCCTGAAAGCCTATGCTGACATTTCAAGAGAAAGATATAGATAAGAAACCATCCCCTGAGATGGGCTCACTAGCCATGACCTCATCTCTGGAAAAAACCAGCGCTTTCCACATCATTCACATAAGAACAAATAATAAATGAAAACTTTCCCAACAATAAAATTTCATATGGTTGTGCATGTGTCATCGAGAGCGGGCTTAAATGGTAAAGGAAGCTTTTAATAAGAAAGGGTTAAAATAGTTAAAATAGCTCAATATTTCAAACACTCAAAAGAACTAGGCAATAGATGTTAAACAATAACTGACCATAAAAATATATTAATTTGATTTAAGAAATAGGTAGTTAGCCTTGGATGAGTCTATGATAACCAAGGAAGATTCTGTGCTTTTTTGATTAACCCTGGATGATTCGATGTTTTGGATTTCTGTGTTACTGTGCCAAGTAACAATAATGCCATATGTCTGGGTTTGCTTTACAAAAACATCCCGAGATTAAATCTGTATAAAAAACCTTGCTTGAGAACTGAAAAATACACTCAGAATCAAACTGCCTCTGTGTTTGTTTCTGTTTGTCACCACTGAATCCTTACCCACCTAGTCTTCAAGGACCCTCATCCCTTGGAACTCCCATACCCACTGGGGTAGTCGGTGGCAGGGACAGCATCACAATTCTGTAATTAAGAGAGGATGTTGAGGTGACAGCACTCCAGGCTTCCCCAGGTGGCCTGGAGTCCAACCCAAGTGTCCTTATTAGGGGCATACAATAAAAAGAACGGCACAGGTGCAGGGCTGGTGAGGGGTGGGACACGGAGAGACTCAGTGAAGGGGACAGCACTGGCCACCAGGGACTATTAGAGATGGTAGAGGATAGACCGCAGGGACAGCCCTGAAAGGCAGGGGGAGCTCTACATCTGCTACACCCCAATATGAGCTGTGAGTCAGGCTACTGCAGAGCCAGGCTGTGTTGGGCCCCACAATGAGATCTGTGGTCCTTCCCCTCAAGGACACAGGAAACAGGAGCCGCAGGGGCCTCTGCAACACTGTCAGAGTGTAGGGACTTTCTTAGGCTGCCCTTCATCTCCTATCACCAAAGGCATTGCCTGATCTCCCGAAGCTCAGCCTGGGCCATTCTATCACTTGGAACTGGTGAGTTGTAGAGAGCAGGGGCTGTATGTCCCATGGCTTCCATTCACTGAGTCCCAGCATCCACACTATGCAGTGGTGGGGACTGACGGCCTCTCCTTCACAGGAAATTCTCTGCCAACCATCCACTGAGTCTGGACTGCGACCTGGAGGATTTCTGGCTTGTTCTAGCAAGATATCAAGGGAGAAGTGGGCACAGAGAGCAGAGAACCCCCACCGCATGGGCATTCATGGAGACTGTAGAGATGCAACAATGAATCGGACCTCCAGACACAGCTATAGTGTGGGTAATAAGGCAGCATGTAGCCCATCCCTGAAGAAAGCCGGGAGGCTGCAGTGAGCAGGGGCCACATGTGGAGCTGTGGAAGAAGGAGTTGGCTTCCAAACATCATGGCAGGGCAGGCCTTCGGGCACCCTCAGCACACCAAGGACCCTGATGCACGGGCTATGGCTGTCACTCAACAAGGTGGATGCCAAATGAGAATGTGCAAGCCCTGGGCTCCCCAGACTGCACCCGGCAAAGCATGACGCTCACCCACATGTCTTCCCAGGAGCCTGCTCTCAAGACCAGAAGATGTTGTCATGGCAACCAAGTAGTGACTGGAGTGAGAACAAGAAGGCTCTACCAGAACCCTGCAGAAGGGCCTCCTGTGTGGAGAGCCCCTAAGGCCTTCTGTGCATAGAGATGATCTAAAAAGGGAGTTGCTTTTTTCTCTCCAAATTTTCTCCAGCAGATGACCTGGCAGCAAACAAGAACTGGGGGGGCACTCAAGGCCCAGCAGGGCAAACTCTAGACCCAGCTCCTGGTGCGAAGTGAGTGGGTGAAGCCTCAGGCACCTAGTTCTCAGAGTTTTGGGACCGAGAACTCCACTGCGAAGGTAAGGACAGGGCAGGAGTCTCCCAAGGCCTATTGCTAGCATTTCCATGGGGCTACCTGCTCTGTCCCCTGTGTCCTTGCCTAGTCTCTGCTGGCCCATCCCTGTGCCAGTGACCTTACCACCTCTTCGGCTAATGACACCAGTCCCACTGGACCCCTGTGGCTTGATTTTAAGTTAACAACCCCTGAACACACTGACTGCAGATCAGCCTCATCGAGATCCTGGACAGGGATGAGCGTCACAGCACGGTGTCAGCGGCGGCATCTTGAGTCTCTGTGGAGAATACCTTTCTGACTGGGAAGGTGCCTTTGTGTGAAAAGACAGCCTCTGTGAACCACTTTTTAAAACCCTGTCCTCTGGATACAACACTGCAGGTGCTAGTGTTGCAGGACATGAGGTGGTTTACACAGACCGAGTGTGGCTGAGGGGAAACTTCCAGGAAGGAGCAGAGGCATGGGCACACTAGCCTGGCCTGCCTCCGGGCCTCTGAGGAGAACTTGACTTTGCTCATTCCACCTTCCTGTAAGCTGATGGCCCTGAGAGGAAGCAAAAGGAGAGTCTAGGCACCAGACCCTGGGGCACAGGCCGACCTCCAGCTCCTTAGGGTCTGGTGTTTGAGTCACCTTGGTCTCAAACAGGCAGAGAGTGGCTGCCCTAGACCTACATGTAAGAGGTGGCTTATGCCTGCTCTGTGTACTGGTGTTCACAGGACCTCTGCACTGGGCTGCGGAGTGCCAGGGACACAGGGAGGTCTCCTCCTGGGTTCCAAACCAAAAACGGTGTGGGCAGAGGGGCAGACAAAGGAATCCCAGTGTAGCCAAAACTCAGAGGAAATGGGGCCCAGGAGGGACACAGCAAGGACAGGTGGGGCTGGGCCATGGGACTGTGGGCAGAGGCTTGTGGGAAAGATGGTCATGTGGCCAAGAGTAAGAGGGGACTGGGCAGAGGGTGGAACGTGGCCCCTGTGAGTGCCTGAAGGACAGGCACATCTGAGAGTTGTGGGAGGGGAGGGAGACGTGTCACCAAGGGCCACCAGCCACCACTGATGAGCATAGAGCCATCCCAGAAGCCCAAGGGACCACTGAGAACTGAGCAGAGGCTGACAAGAGCAAAGCCGAGAGGGATGTCAGACCCTGGTCCAGACCCAGCCCAGTGCTCTGCACTCAGCATGACCTCCGATCCTGATCTCAGCTTCCTCCCCAGGATGGGTGAGCCCAAATACACACACACACACACACACACACACAGACAGACACGCACGCACGCACGCACACACCCTCACACACACGCACGCACGCACGCACACACCCTCACACACACACGCACGCATGCACACACACACACACGCACGCACGCGCACACACACACACATACACACCCTCCCTCCCTCCCTCAGAGGGTATCACATAAGCTCAGAGCCATTCCAGCTCAGCGTGAGGTCACATGTACCTCTCTCCATGCCAGAAGTGAGACATCTCCAATTACTCAGCCACTATCAGATCTGTGGAAACCCCTGCAGTCCAGAGTCCAGACCCTTTTCTGCTAAGAGAGGCTCGCCTCCAGGGAATGAGCCCGGAGCTCTGTTCCAGGTGTCTGACTCTCATCACTCTGTGACCCAGCACCCACAGGCCACAAGGAGGCAACATGGCTCCCTGATTAGCCTGTCAATCAAAGAGGAGGCTGCTTCAAATCCTAGTTTTCCCTAGGCCACATCCGGGTCTTCAGCATACGACACATACCCCTTCCTCCAGTGAACAAGCCTGGCACCTCTTGTCACCAACCTGCCAGGCACTTTCACAAACTGGAGCCACACACAAGTTGGGCATAGTTTCACAACAGCCACGTTAGTTCCCTAGTTCCCACAAGGCCCGCCAGTCCACTGACATGCCCCCTTCCCACTCTCCCTCAGCAGCCCAGGTTCACAGGTCCATATTCCCACTGTTTACATACACCATCTGCTCCAGGCCCACAGACTCACATGGCAAAGGCCCACCTTGGCTTCCTCTCTGCCAACCTGCTGCTGCTTATGGCCCATAGCAGAGGTGGATGAAGAAAGTGTTCAGCACAGGCTGGCCTGCCTCCAAGACCCCAGTACTGGTCACTAAAGACTCCTGTGTGTCAGGGCCTTGCACACCTAATGCCAGCTTCAAGCATGTCGGTGGGTATTAGATAAACACCTACTGGTAAACGCTGTGCTCTTCGACATGGGTGAGCACGACTCCTGTATTCTAGATGGAAAAAGGAAGCCAGTCACACGCAGGGACAAGTCTTGGTGCTGGAGTGATCACCTTTCTTTCCTCATTCACAACTAACTTATTCTAATGTCCTGTGGCCACCTCGGTCAAAGATAGTTACAACACAGCCCAAACTGATGAAGTCAACATTTTTTTTCCTGTCTCCATTCCATCAGAGTTATGCCCTTCCCTGCCCCTCACTCCTTTCCAGTAGGCATTTGTCATCTATGAGCACAGGCGCTATGACTCAGGTCTCTTACCGCAAAGGTGCCAATGACTACTCTATTGTGTGAAAGCTCAGGACATGAAACGTCACTTAATGTGGCTGGCATGAATGATCCACACAACAGTGACAGGGTAGTCACTGCCCTTCCTGGACTGGCCCTGACCTTCCCCAGCTTAGTGCAGGCTATAGTCACCCACCCTGTAGGTGGTCCTCTCTTTAGCAGACTGGGGGAGGGGCAGCGCTCAGTCCTTAGCTTGTTCTGACGCCAGGACCCCATTTCTGCCTAGCTTCTGATATCCAAGTTTCCCCCCAGAAGCCAGTATGCTTATATACCACCCAGAGGCCACTTCCCTGCAGGTCAAGCCAAGGATACTGAAGCTCCGATCAGTGATGGCCAGATGCCAGAGGTTGATGCGTAGGTCATCTGCTGACATGTATGTCTCACAGTCACTGTTGACTGAGATGGAGTTGATGTGGTAGGTGTGGCCATTGGCAAAGATCCTCCTCGGGCTCACCTCCACCATCAGGTCCATGGGCTTCAGCACAGGCACCTGCAGAGTAGAGGCCGTCAGAGTCACAAGGGAAGGGGAGAGAGACGTCACAGGACACACAATCTTCCCCCCCCCCAAAAAAAGTTTTTCTGTGTCGTCTGGGCTGTTCTGAAGCTCGCTCTGTAGACCAGGCTAGCCTCAAACTCACAGAAATCCTCCTGCTTCTGCCTCTCAAGTGTTGGGATTAAAGGTGTGTGCCATTATTGCCTGGCAGAAAACACTATTTTAATGGGAGGCTGCAACACTCATTCAGGAGCAGGGCGTGAAATAAGTGGTCACAGGTAACACATGTCCTTCACCTGCCCTTCTCATGCAGCATGCTCTACATGGCTGTTTAGCTGTGAGGGGTTTCAAAGCCTTCTAGCACGTACAAGGTAAACCTGATCCACCTTGCATGAACTGAAGTGCTCAGCACTCACTCACTCACTCACTCACACACACACACACACACACACACACACACACACACACACACACACGCTTCTCTCTCTCGTTCTTTTTGTAATTTATGTGCATAAGCATTTTGACTGCATGCATGCATGCACACTATGTGCGTGCCTGGTACCCAGGGAGGTCAGAAGAGAGCATCAAATCCCTTAGAACTGGAGTCACAGGCTTTGTCATGTAGGTGCTGGGAGCGAGACACCGGTCCTCTGCATGAGTAGCAAGTGTTCTTAACCACTGAGCTATCCCTCCAGCCCCCAGAACTCTTTCTTGCAAGTTCCACACTCTATTGGAAGATGCAAGCCCTTACACCTTTTAATTAAGCAGGATAAACATCGACTTTGGCACAACTCTACACACTGCACCAAAGAAGATCTAGCACAGCTCCCTCCAACCTATAATAGCCCCAGGGCACACTGAGCTCAACTCAGTAACTACCCAGCAAGTATGGCTATACTCTGGGCCTCAGTTTCTCCTTTCTGTAATGGGCATTTTCTGACTTGCTGTCCCCCTCAACTGCAGGTGAAGAGCTCTTCGCAGACACAGCCCACCACACCATGCCAGGACAGAAGCATCCAGGGTATGTACTGTGTGGCAGATTAAAGTTCTTCATCTTGGGGAGAATTTTGAGGACACCGGATGTAAAAGGGAAGCAAAACAACAGCGTATTTTAGGACAAGATATTTACAAGGAGGCGAAATCACAGGAAGGTTTAAGGCAACAGTTCTCAACCTGTGGGTTGAAACCCCTCTGAGGATCAGACGGACCTTTCACAGGGGTCGCATAGCAGATATCCTGTGTATCAAATATTTACATTATGATTCATAATAGTAGCAAAATTACAGTTAAGAAATAGCAATGAAAATAATTTTATGGTTGGCAGTCACTAGAACATGAGGAATTGTACTAAAGTGTCACGGCATTAGGAAAGTTGAAAACTACCGATATGAGGAGAGGTGAAAAACTTCATCCTTCAGGGAAGCTCCTTGTAGATAGTAGATAAACAACTCAAATAGCTTCAGGAAGTCCCTGAAACTGACCAGGTTCACTTAGTCCCTCCCTTTCCAGAATATATAAGCAGTAAAGACTACAAAGAACTACTCCCCCAACAAACTGCTCAGAGAAGGCCCAGGCCATTGGCCTGGAAGAATCAGAGACCAGTGACCTGATCAGCCGAGCCACCTGTCAAGCTGGCTGCAGGCTCTACTCCAGGTTCCCAACTTCTGTGAGCTGTCATCATGCTGGGGCAGGCTTTGGTGGTGTAGCTGTTTATCACACATTCCAGCTCCTATAAGTAACCCCAATAAAACTCAGTGGCTAGGCATGCTGGTGCATACCTTTAAACCTAGCACTTGGGAGACAGAGGTAGGAATATCTATGTAAGTTCGAGGCCAGCCTGGTCTACACAGAGAGAGTACTATGACAGCCAGGGCTGTTACACAGAGAAACCCAGTCTCAAAAAACCAAAAGATAAAATAAGTAAATAAGCAAAGACCAAGCTCATTGGTTCACCAATGAGTGGACTTGGCAGTATCTGTACTTTGGTCTGTCATTGGTTCCCCACCTAGGATGAGTAGATGCTCCTTCATCAACCCAGGAATGATGTCACAACAGTATGACCCTGGCTCCAAGAGTCCGAAACATCTCACGGTTTGGTAGAACATAAATGTGGAGCATGCTGTTCTTGACGCTCACCTGCAATGATGTCACTGTGGACAGGTCTTTCAGTTTCCCCTCCTCATCCTTCAGGTTGTAGCCCTCGGGCCTCTTGTCTCGCTCGGTGATCTTCCATAACTTAATAGTTTTATCTTTAAGAACAGAATGGGGAAGAGCAAGGCACCCTGTCACAGCCAGGATCTCCCTCACAATGCCTTACACAGAATAGCTCTGCATGTGAGGCGTCTGTCCTCACCCATCTTTCCTAGCCACTGGCAGGGGATGTTGCTAGGTCAAAGGGCACGGTCCTTGCAGGGATCACTACTGACCCCCACACTGGGTCTCTGCCACTGTTCCTTCCTGAGAAGAGGGTGGCCTGCCTGCCATTCCTAACTCAGTGGCACCTGCCACCCAGAAGCCAGTTCCAGGGAGTCTATCTGTGCACTCTCTGATGTCCTAGGAGGAAGTGGATGTGACAATCATCTCATGGCTCACCTTGGCTATGCCATGGACACTGTCCAAAAACACATGGGCTGTTGTTCTGAAGGGTTTCCATCAAGAGGATTACCTGCCACTAGGGGATGATGGATCATGTATACTGCCCAAGGCCCTGGCAGAATAGAAACCATCTCCCCGGGCAGAATAGAAACCATCTCCCTCTAGGCTTAAGCTGTGTGCTTCTGACCTCACAATCACAGGGGCAAGTTCCTCTCCATCTCCCCTTTCTCTCTCTCCTCTCTCTGTCCCTTCTGCACAGGTCTAGCCTCTCCAGAGAACGCTGATAACCTTAGCAGTCAAAAGAAACAATACTGTGCCTGGGAAGGAGCTAGAGGGAAAACTGGTTCAGGTGGGGCCTTCAACAGGGGTCTTCAGTATTCTGTACACTGGGGTATAAAGGTGTTCTAGAAGTTTTGTGGAGCTAAGAAGTAGGTAACTCCCATAGCTGCTCTTCCTTCCAGAATGGCAGGAAGTTATTTTTAAAGATACACGTGCATGCATGGGCTCACACACAAGCTTAGTGTCATCTTTACATGCTCCTGGTCCCATGTGACTATCCACCCCCTCCCACACTGGATAAAGACCCAGAGTACAAGTGTGCTGAGCTGATCCTAGCCAGGCCTCCAGGAGGCCAGCTAGAGCATGTCCTCTGGAAGCCTGGCAGAGACACACAATTAGAATGACAAGTGTCCTATTGAGGGAGGGTCAAGCAGAGGTGAGATGTCAGGGAAGACTTCAAAGTCAATATCCAGTGGATAGAGAGGGGCAGTGGATAGAGAGGGGCAGTGGATAGAGAGGGGCAGTGGATAGAGAGGGGCAGTGGATAGAGAGGGGCAGTGGCTAGAGAGGGGGCGAGGGAAGTCACCATGAGAGATTGTAGGGCGTGCAATAAAGGCTGAGCCGTTCTCAGGAAGCCCTTGAGGGCCCCTCAGCAGTAGGACTTCTTCAGGGAAGGCATCGGTGATGCCATCTTCCCAGCCTCCCTCAGACTCACACAGCACTTACTATTCTCTGAGCACTGGGTGGACACCATCTCCTCACAACCCCAGAAGGGAGCTGAGTTGACCCCTGGGCAGTGGGCAAACTGAGCTAGTGAAAGCAAGGCCACATACCCCAGTCCACAAGGCTGGCCTAGACCCACGTCTGCCCCAGCAGACTCCTGGCCCCAGTTCATGAGCTAATGAGGGGAACGAGGGATAGCAGGGCAAGCGTGGAACTGGATGGCCGCCCCGGGCCAGCAGATGCTAGGAAGCCCAGACCCAATCTAGGGGTAGCAGGCAGAGCTGGAATGTAGCAACAGCTTTCTGGGGTCACACAGCATGCCTTTAAGCAGAGAGACAAAAGCCAGCCACCTGTCTATCCTACCCACCCCTGGGGGTAGCCCCCACCCCACCCCACCCCCGTCTGTGACTCTGAGTCAGAGTGCCATTTGTATCTGGTAATCACTGGTTTCTGGCCCTGGTCCCAGTGGTTTGGAGCGGTCAACCTCATCTCTACCTTGGAAATATCCATGACCACTGAATTCACAATGGGGAAGAAAAGCTGAAGAGAATGGTCTGGTTGTCACTAAAGCCACAGGGAAACTGGAAGCCCAAGGAGGGCAGGCCAGCCATAGCTTAGCCGCGGGCCTCACCATTGGTAGACAGCAGCGAGTGTGCGGCATTCTGCTGCGGGAGCCATTTGATCTTGTTGATTTTCTCCTCTATTTCCAAGCTCTTCAGGTAGTCAAACTCTGGCTCGTGGCTCTGGAAGGTGCTGTACACGTCGTACTCACCCTGGCTGTGAGGCGCGTTCTTACTCTGCAGGGAAACCAATAGGCAGACTGAACCAGAGACGTATCCAGGGCAGATGGAGGGAGACATGACACAGGGCTGAATCCACCTTGCACGGGGGTGCCTTCAACACTACCAAAGGGAGCTACTGATGCGAGTGTACATGTATGTGCTGGTGGGTGTGTGTGGATGTGGGTGTGTGTGGGGTGGGTATATTACAGGGGTGGAGAGCAGGGTAGGGTTACAGGGCTATGGTGTGCATGAACGGGGATGTGTGTTTGTGTACAGGGGGCATGCAGGTGTGTGGGCAGGTGCATATATATATATGCATATATATATATATATATATATATATATATATATATATGCAGGTGTTATGAGCAGTTTTTCTGCCAGTCTGGTCCCACAGCCGCGCCAGCCCCAAATAACACACAGAGACAGTGTATTAGATATAAAGCTGTTGGCTTGTTACTAGCGTTTCTTATTGGCTAGCTCTGTCTTAAACATGTGCATGCATATGTGTGAGCATGCATTCAGAGACAAAGGTGTCATCCTAGGAACACTGTCCACCCTCTTTGAGGCAGGGTTTCTCATTGGCCTGTACCTCCCCACTTAAACCAGCAAGCCTTTAGAGATCTGCCTGCCTCTAATTCCCCAAAACTGGGACCACAGGCATTTGTATTTTTATGTGGGCTCTGGGCATCAGACTTAGGTCCTCATGCTTATGAGCCCAGGGCTCACCCTTGTATCCATAAAGTGGCCACCATTCACCCCAATGAGACCAGATATCAAAGCCAAGGCTCCATCTACCCTCATCTGTCAGGCCCTAACCCAGCTTCCCATGGCAGCTCCCATTCCAGTTTGGGCAGCCGAGTTCCTGCTATGAACCCTCTCTCGGTGGAGATCCCCCAAATACTGAGTGTCAGACCTGCCATAAACACCAGGGGCTACTTTTCTAGCAGACAAGTCAAGTTTCTATGACAACATGCAATCACAGCTGGGAACAAGGGACGGCCAGCCAAGCCCAGCGTCAAGATTTTTCTGTTCATTTTGAAAAGTGTCTATTTTTAGGTCCCCATCTCTGTCTTGCGTTAGGATCTGTTTGAAAATCCTTCCACGTTTTTTTGCCTCCTCTTCCCACGAGCACTAGTTGTAAGGAAGAGGTTTGCAGGACCAGAGGGAAGAGGCAAATTAAAGGAGGAAAACCAGAACCTCTGAGCTCATTTCTCTTTGCAGTGGGCAGAAGGATGGCTGATCCTGGTGTGCCCTGGTGGGACAGTCTGTCTGGTGACACCTGTGTGCATCAGGCTGTCCCCGGCCTGCCCTTGGTGAGCTATTTTAAGCCCGCCGTGCTGCGGTTCTTCAGCTGTCAGATGAAGGGTAACAGCCTCTCTGCCTGCTGGGGTGGCGATGCCGGGCTGCACGAGCTAATGTAGCATGGGGACCACACTCAGGGCACAGGTGGCCTTCAGCTCCTCTCCCTAGCCCTGCCTCCCTTGAGCCTCCCTCTTCTCCCCTTCCTGGTTTCTCAGCCCCAACACATTCAGTGGCGAGAGGTGTGGTATGTGACACCTTGCTGGTGTGGTATGTGACAAGGCAGCCAAGGGCAGGTTTCCGTGGGGATTGCTGCCCATCCGTCTGGCGGTAAAGGGGTGTGTACCTATACCCTCAGAGGCAACCAGAAGGAGCAGAGGCAGAAACCGTGTCGAGTGTGCAACCAACGCTCAGCCCAGTGTCTGCAGACAGCGGGTTCTCAGGGAATGGGTGAGGAGCTTTGGACAACACAGCTCTTTAAGGTTTCAGAAATGACCTCCTGGCTGGAAGGCCTCAGGTTGTTCTTGCTGTATTCGGAATTCTGCTGCACAGTGATAGGGGAGGGCAGAGGAGCAGATGAAGACTGGCTTGAAGGATGGAGGCCTGAGCAGAATCTGTCAGGCCAGCAGAGAGCTGGGGGGGGGTGAGGCCCCCCTCCTCACACTGGTAGGGGAAGTTCTACTGGGGGCTTGTTGGTTTGTCTGGGACTGCAGCATTGCTGCAAACTCCTGTGGTGGGGGGGGATGGGAGGCTTTGGTGCACAGCCTTAGAAGCTGACCCAGTCTACCTGACAGGCCCATCCCCTTTCCCTCCAGCCCCAGGGACCTTGTGACAGAGGGGAGTCAGTGAGGGAACTCTAGGTAGGACATGTAGGCAAGGTGGGTCGGAAATCCTGCTCAGAGTAAGGGCTGCACCCTTCCAGACCCACATCCCCCTGATGCCACCCTCAACCCTGCAGTGCAACCCTCTGCCCACCCTCTTCCTGCCTCCCTCCTGACCCCTCCACACACATACCTCTGGCTCCCGCTGGAAGATAACCACGCGGCCACCCTTGTCACCTGTGGCCAGCAGTTCCCCAGTGTGGTTGAACTCGACAGTGGAGATGATGTCAGCTTGAGGAAGCAAGGCAGAAGGCATCGTTAGACCGCTGCGTTCCCACAGCACAGTGCTGTGCTCTGCAGACCCCACAACCCTGGGGGCCCATGGAGCAGGTGGGAACCCAGGAGTAAGCATGCTGAAGGTCCCCACCCTCCTGCAGGAGTATGTGACTCTTCCCTTCACCTTCACCCTGTCCCTCACACAACATCAGGCAGGCTTCCTTCTGAGCTCAGCAGGTCACCAGCACAAATCTGACAGCTGGCTGGGCTCCAGGCCCAGGGGACAGGACTGGGGACAGTGTGGGGCCATGCTGAGGGCCTGCAGCCTCCTAGGCATCGGGGCAGGTAAGCACCATTCCACAGAGCTGGACGCCATCAGGGCCTTCCACAGGCCAGGCTCGTCCAGCCTTGGAAGGCAGGCAAGGGAAGGCAATTGTCTATGGGGACAGTCAGGACCAGAAGTGAAAACACAGTGGCTTGCTTGTGTCTCCAGTGGACGCCTTTAAGGGAAGTAAGGCCTCAGCCTGAAGCCAAAGAACCACTACCCTGGGCCAGATGAGGAATGGGTACAAAGTTAGAGATCACAATAGCTAGCAGACTGCCTGCAAACTGGGGGTAGAAGTGGCATTGAAAGCCTCCTGGATAGGCTTTGCCGTCTTCTCTTAAACCAGACCTCATGTTCACTCCTATCATAGGGAAAAAAAGGCCACTCCCCTGCAAGGACAGTATCTGGTAGTGGTTGAGATGAACTCTCCGCTCCCCTCTCTGAGTCTCAATTCCAGGCAGGTCTCTGGGATTTCTCCCAAGCTACGCTCGAGAAGGCTGCACTCAGCTTAAGGCCCAGAGGCCTTCCTCATGGAGTTGCCCTAGTAACTGGAGTGTCTGACCTGCCTATGTGGGCAGATGTCTAGGTAGAGAGCCCACAGTGCTCCACCCAGACTCCAGTCTCAGTATCTGGGAATGAGGGCAACGCCCGTTCTATTACCCAACCTTTTCAGGCTCTATGAGTCACAGCAAAAAAACATCCAAGACATTCAGCCACAGGGTTAGGGCCATGTACAGGAGGCTATCCGCTGGGGCCACAGATGAAGAGAAATGGGTTAGATTACAATGAAGACAGCTAGTGAGACAAGCCTAAGCTAAGGCTGAGCATTCATAATTAATAATAAGTCTCTGTGTCTTTATTTGGGAGCTGGTTGGTGGCCCAAAGAAAATCGCAACTACACTTGTCCTTCAAAGGAGGGCCTGGGCCCCTCCTAAATGGTCTTCTATCTCACTGTGACCCACAGGCTGAAGGGCGACAACGGGAGGGGCCCAGAGACACCAGGACTGACCCCATGATCACTTCCCTGCCGGAGGCTTCCAGCAGCCTTGCGATCCACAGTCAGAGCAATCTGTAATTGTGCACCCCAGGACCCCAGACCTCCCCTTCCCCTGCTCCCTTCTCTGGAACTCACATGTCCCCACCTGGTCGGTAAACTCCCAGATGCCCTGAACTCTTAGGTCTACGAGATAACAGCCACCAAGCTGTAAGCTGGGCCTAGAAGGGGCTCATAAATAGCTCTACCCTGTTGCCTCTGCTTTTGCCCAGGCTAGCCCACCAGTCCCCACAGGAGCAGGCACAACAGCTGCTGGCCAACCCCAGCCTGGAGCAGGCCACCGACAAGCCTAGCTCTCTGCAGGAGTGTGAAAACCGTCTGCCCGTGATAGACACTCTCTAAGCCAGCCCTACCCTACTCTATCTCACCATCATCCCATACCTGATGTGGGAGTCTTTGCATTCCAGCTCACATCAGCACCCAGTCTGGACATGGGGCCGGGGTGTCCTCCCTTGCCATCGGTACAGCCTAGTCTAGAGACTTTCTTCTCATCTTGCACACGGGCAACCTGCTCAGTGAACCAGCACGGTCACCTTGTTGAATCTCTTACCAATCCCTTGACCCCATTCCACAGCAGCCTGTTCCCCCTTCTCCTGACCGGGGCTGTAAGCTGTCTTCCTTCTCTGTCTAGTGCCTGGATCCAGGAGGGCAGAGCTCTGAGATGAACTTCAGAGCCTCAGTGGCGCCTGTGTCTGGTAATAGTGTGTGTATCTTGTCGATACAAACTTTTCTTTGGGGATGCTGGGATAGGACCCAGGGTGTTGCAGCCCATCATTGAGCTGTACCCACAGCTGTAATGGATGCCCTCCAGAGGGAGCCCCTGGGCCTCTGAGCTGTAGTAAACGCCAGCAGCTGTGGTAGCAACAAATTAGGACACAAACACAGGATGATAGTGGAACACACCTTTACACTTAAATAGAGGGACCAGGCAAGTACCTGCTACATACACTAACTTGTCCTGGCCACCAACTCCATCCCTCCATGCAGCACCCGCCCTGGCCCAGGGACACTAAGGGCTGAACTAACCCTCCAGTACAGGGCTCCCAGAGGAAGGAGTGACTCTTTCTGCTTTGCGTTAAAGCTCCCTAAGGGAGAACGAGCAGAATATAAAGTTCTATATAAAATGTCTTAATTACATAGACCAATGGTCACAGCCCTGCTTTAAACAAGCAAACAAGCTGAGGTGGGGGTTGGACTTCCCCAGAATGTCAACAAAGCTTTGCACAGTATGTTCCGTGATGTAGCTACATTCTTTTAATAACTTTACTAGGATGTAATCAATACATCAACACCGGCATCTTTAATGTGGACAATTTGATGAGTTTTGGGTGTATACATAACGCTCGTTATTTTTATGATGGGAAAATAATGCAATTAAATTAAAATGCTGACATAGCCTCGCTATCCAGAGCAATTGAGGTCCACCGAGGCCGGGCGGTTACCACAGTAACAGACACTAATGTCTGTGGGCAATTTACAATTCGTATGTCATTTTCATGTCCACTGCTTCCTTGGAGCCTCAAAAGCCCCCCTGGGGGACAGATTAGAGTGACTTCCAGTCGGTGGAGGGAAGACAGTGCTCCCTCCACAGGCAAAAGGTGGGCAAGCTCTCCGTGGGCCAGTCTGAAGTCTGGAGTAGCATCTTGGCTCAGGGCACTCAGCTGTGTGGCCTAGGGTGGGCATCAACAACTCCTATGGTCCCTGACAACCCCTCTGCACCTAGGCTGCGATGGATGGATGGTCTTTCTGGGAACAGAGGATGGTGAGGCAACTGGAGTGGGAAGACCAGGGAAGGAGGACCAACCAGGGCTCTGAGGAATAAGGGCTAAGAAAGAACCTACCTCATGGAGAGCCACAGCCTTCTGCCATCACTGCCTCCGCTTTTAAAGGGCGGTGGTGTTCACAAGTGTAGGGCTATGGCCCAGCCTCTCCAGTCCTGTTCTGGATACCACTACAGTGCCACCTCTACCCCCAAGACCCTCTTACCCAGGCCAGGGCCCTGCCAAGCTCTGCAAACAGTGGCTGCAGAAGGGGTAGGGATCACACTACTGTCTTGTGGCATAGGTTCCAGGGTAGGTTTGCCTGGGGCAAAGCTACCTCAGAGTGCCAGGAATCAACCACCACCAATGCCAAGCTGCAGAGAAAGGTCACCTCTTCTCCTAGTAAGACTGAGACACCTCCTGCCCCAGGACCACCTCCTTCAGGAAGCATTCCTAGCATGCTTACTGTACTCCATACCAACAAAACGGTCTCTCTACTGTGGGCTCAGACCAATGCGTGTCCCGAAGAAAGCATAAGCTCTTCCTCCATGGTGCTCAATAGCCACACTCCCTCCAGTCCCGCCCATGAAGAGCAGCAGGACCTGCAGCCAATCCCATCCACGTGTCCTGGGAGCCATCTGTCTCCAGGTAATGCTGACCTAACCCAGCCTTACTGGAGTAGGGCTCGCAGGGTGACAACTGCAGGGTCTAAACCCATGACCAAATAATGAAACCAATCTATCTGCGGCCACTGGAGGGGAGTGAAACACTAAGATGCCTGTGGGTCAGCAACCGTAGAAAAAGCTCAGGCTAGACGAGTCTCCTCACATGAGGCTTAGCCTCAGAGTGGGGACCACCTTTGCAGTGTGGAATGCCACTAGCCCTAGTCCTTCTGCAGCTGGCGGGCATGCAGGAGAGGGGACAAGGGGCCACTGGTCAGCACCCCGAGCCAGCCCAGAGAGTGCCTGTCTACCTGTGAATGCCTGAGAAGTGAGAGGTGTTACCTCTGGTGGCCATGCAATGACAGGCTACTGCATACCACAGGCAAAGATGTGTGACATGAAAGTTTCTGGCCCAGCAGGTTCCACGGCCCCTGAGTCCCAAATGAACATACTGTTGGCAGTTGGCTTGGGCTTCTTATTGGCTGGCTCTGTCTTAATTATTAACCCATTTCTATTAATCTGAGTATTTCTACACGGTGTTATCTACCAGAGAACGCCTGACTCGAGTCCTCTCCTCCCAGGAATCACATGACAACTGCTCTCCTCCTACACTTCCCAGAACCTTCCTTGTCTCCCAGTCCCTCCCACCTATCATTCTGCCTCATTGGCCCAACAGTGCTTTATTCATTAACCAATAAGAGAGACGTATTTACAGAATGACATCTCCCATCAGAGATGAGCAAAGATGGCGGTATGGGTTGGATTGAATCCCCTAAAAAGATATGACAAGGGCTTGAACTTCGGCCCTGCAAGTAGGAGACTGCTCTAGAGTCTTTGTAGATGGCCAAGATAAAAATGTCAGACTGCCGGCAGAAGGGCTCTGGGCACAAAAGCCTGACATGAATGGAGTAGGACACGGGGCACACAGACATGGGGGAAGGGCCACGGGATGAGAAGCAGCAAGCAGACTACCCAGAGCTAGGAAGGGGCCAGGTGGAGTCTGTCCTGGGGCCTGTAAAGGGAACACCAGCGCCACCCTGAGGATACCTGGGTCTCAGACTTCTGCCTCTAGGGATGAGGGATATGTATCATTTGTTTTAAACTGTAGTTTGAGAGGCTGGCCCTAGGGACTCAGCACATTCAGACTGCGCTGAGGCCATGCAGCCATGAGCCCTGGAAAAAGTAGGGATCCCCATCTGTGCCCAAGCTGGCTT